CGGGGCCAACGTCCCTGTAGGCGGGGCCTACGATATTGTAGGCGGGGCCTACGATATTGTAGGCGGGGCCTACGATATTGTAGGCGGGGCCGACATCGCTTTAGGTGGGGCCGACGTCACCGGAGGCGGAGCCGACGTACCTGTAGGTGGAGCCGATGACACTGGAGCCGCAATATTTGTTAGAGGCGGAGCTGACAACACCGGAGGCGGAGCCGACGTCCCTGTAGGTGGAGCTAATGACACTGGGGACGGAGCCGCAAGGTTCGTTGGAGGTGGAGCCGACGACACCGGAGGCGGGGCCGATGTCCCTGTAGGCGGGGCCAACGACACTGGAGGCGGGGCCGACACTGAAGGAGGAGCTGGATGGTTATGTGCCTCTCCACTATCTAAGGGGGAAGGTGAGGCTCTATTGCCATTGGGTTCCTGTGGTTTATCTTTAAGGAGAGAAGTGACCATTTTGGCCATCTCCAGCTCATTCCCTCTCCTCTTTAGTCGTCGTCGTTCCAGCTGTCTGGGTAGTGATTCTCAGGTTCTGAGGCCTTGCTCTTGTAGCTGTTGGGCCTCTCTAACTTGGGCTTGGAGTCGTTGACATTCGAGTTCGGCTTGTTGCTCCTCTTCCAGCTCCTGCTGCAACTCCTCAAGCTCCATCTGCTTCAGTTGTTCTTCGAGCTGAGCTGTTTCTAGCTCTGAGAGAACATTAGAGGGGAATCTGCCAATGGATGAGCGTATTGAACGCGTGGATCTAGAACTGGAGCTCCTCCATGATGAGTGCGTCCGCTCAATGTGTGAACACTGGGAGGAGGGAGCCGGTTGAGTGGTTTGGGGTTGTCCCTCAGGAGGGAGAGTTGCAACCACATAGTCAGCTAGATATGCTGGGTGGCGTCGTTCCCTATGTGAAGTGCGTTGGGGTGCAGATTCAACCTGGGAGTCCGTATCTGTGTGTTCCATACCTTAATTGGTGCTCTAATCCAGCTCGAAAGACCATAAAACGGAGAATGTGGTTTCTCCTGGAAACTAGTTGGTTTAGAGCGGTAAAGTATGGATGTGTGTGTCCCGGTTAGAGAACACGGAAATGGACTCCTGGTTCAGATTTTATTGATTTATTCAGCTGCGGTCTTTTGGCATTTACACACAGCAAAAACTCAAAGAAACAGGTGGATGGACTCAAACAAGCCTGGAAAAACCCATCCGCTATTGGCAGCTACCTGACGTGAGAATCTAACGGCTCTCACAGCATCGTGTCTCGCTACGGGTGAGGTGCATTCAAGGAGCGTCAGTACAACTCTGATGCATTCATCAATGTGGGAAAAATACAAATTACAATGCAAACAAAGAATTAATGAATGACACTTAATGAATGCCACATAACTAAGAAAAGACAACAACATACAATAACGTGGGCTTTCCAACAACTGTGATGAACCTGATTCTACACTCTCCTTCTCCCCCCTCCCTTCACTCAGTGAGCTGTAACAACTCAAACCACTCTGCTTGGATCAGCAGGATATGTGATAGGCAGAAACAGCTGCAATGACAGAAAGCATCAATCTCACCCACTACCACGATGCCATCACCTCATAAATCATTTAACAGCATGAATCAACATGCCATGCATTAGGTTAGTTTAATGTCAGATTTAACATTATGCTCCTCAAGCAACAACAAAAATGGAAGCCTCCTAATTCTTACTAAAAATTTTGCACTCATGAGCACAATTTCAACTATATTCTATTCACATAAATACAAAACCAGTGTTTTAGCAGAAACATAATAAAATAAAATACATTACTATGATCACATATTTTTGTAATTTAATAAAATTCTGTTGTTATTGCATCAAATGTAGCCAAACATATCTAAATGACTACTTAAATGTAGGAAATTTGTCATTTTAAAGTTCCCCACGAATGTAGATGTTTTCCAGTGATTTTAACACATTATGCTTAGGAGTGCTTCCTAATTTCATTTCACATGAACAAACATGTAAACGGTTTTTTTTTAATATACATCTTGAACACTAAAATAAGAGAAGGTCCACCACAGCTTACAATCTTTACATCTTGTTCATCTATGAATGAGCATTTTTTTTCACCTGCCCAGCCCTCGTCTCCATCGTGGTCCAGCTCATCCAGTTCCTTCAGGTCATCCTGCTTTAGGATAGAGGGTCGCTTTACCACCTCTCCAACTGCGTCACGCGGACCGCCCTGTGGCCTGCTGTCAGGACCACCCTGCCCACGAGAGAACCTGAAAGAGCAGAGGAGGTTATTTTCTGTCAGAAAAAACATGGTCCAAAAAAGGCAGTAAAACTGATTTAACTTGAAATGAAGCTACGCTTGTTCCTTTGAACAATAAAGAGAAAGGGAATTTACTATCAACAAGCAACAATGCTAGCATTGCAACTTTTTAGCAATGAACGTACCTTGGAGCAGGCCCTTCCCCAGGTGGCGGGTACCTGTAAGGCCCCTGGGGGCCATAGGGGGCCGGGAAGGGCAAATAGGGAGGATACATCTAGGGAGGTGGGGGGGGGTAGAAAAAAAAACACAGACCAAGTTCAGACTGCAGCTTTTTTCATACTTAAGAGAGGACCAAAGAGAAGCACAAATGGAAACTTACGAAGGGAGGCATGATTCCTCGATATTGGGGGAACCCGGGCCCCACAGGGGGCTGGGGCAGGGGCAAGGCGGGGCTGCCTGCAGGAGGGTTCCTAGGTGGCCCGTGGTTCTGGGAGTTTGGAGGGGGGACCCCAGCTGCCCCATCCATCACCAGAGCTCCACCAGTGCCACCCTCCGCTGCCCCCTCCCCAGACAGGGTGGGTGCCAGGGCTCGGCCCCCACCATCCCGCCAACTTGTAACGTCTGAGGACAGAGAGGTCAGTATGCTTTATGGGCTTTATCTGAATAAGATCAGAGGCTCAAAGTAATTCTTTACACATTCCTGTGATCTGGAGGAGTTAATGCTCACTTAATAATGGGGAATAATTAGTCACAAAAAGCACGCAGCCCAAAAAGAATCTTGTGAGAGATGTTTTTGTTTTTTTTTTCTTCCTATCACCACTGACTTAATTAAATGACTGGTTGATCAATTATTAGAGATTAAGTAAGAATGACTCACTCTGGGGGCGGAGGCTTGGTCCGGGCCCATACCACTGATCTGCAGTGCCCTGTTCTCTGCCAGCTTTGTCCTGGTCGCCAGCCGCCTGCAGGGTGGGAAATTCCTCGCGAGAGAATGGCGACGGTAGGTTTGATCCCTTTCCACCTGCAAAGAAGGAAGACAAGGAAATAGGCTCAATTTTGACAAGAACTTCAATCCAGAGAAACGTATACAAGATTAAAAAATCAAAAAAAAAAAAAAAGCAAGCCTCACCATCCCCTTGTGTTCCATGTGTAACACTGGCCTGAGCCCAGGACCTTGCCCCTACGGCCTGGGTTGAAGCTGGGGCCAGAGCCTGAGGATAGGATACAGAAACACAAATGGTACATGACAGACATCAGCTATGACTGTTATTTATCCCCCAGATCATCGCTAACTCAGAATATAGTTTTGTTTTCATGTTAGCATGACTGTCTGAACCTCTGAAGCTGGCGGGGTTCTCGGGCGGGTCGGTGCAGGTATCTGTGAAGCCACAGGCTGCTGCGATTCCGGCTGCGGTGCTGACAATGCATCGGTACTAAAAGAAAGGGGAAAAAAAGTCACCTAACACATTAGATAAAAGCAAGACAAGCAGCCACACAAGAATAAAAAGGATAAAATGACTTCTCACAACAACATCCTTTGGTCTAACTTTATCTCTTCCTGTTGAAATAGTGTGTTATTATATAGCTAATTCTCACCTCTTTGGGTCTGCTGGTTCCTGTTTGCTTGCCCATCCTGTGCCGTCTTTGGGAACGAGCGAGACGTTGGGATCGTTGCCTTTGTTCTCTGCCTTCAGACTGGGCAGGTTGGCAGGGGGTGGCATACGCCGTGCGGAGGCAACTTTACCAAGAGACTGCAGGCCATGGCGGGGGGGAACTGATATGGGGAAGAGAAAGGAGGGCATTAACACTGAAAGGCCACTGAAACCTGACACCACTGAAATGTACTGGGTGTAAGGAGTCCGACGACAGGGACAGCGTTTTCTGCTTCTTTACTGGATATGCAATTAGGATGCTGAACAACCAGCAAGGCTTCAAGCTTGGCAGTTTCAGTCTGTTGATTCTGATGAATACGGATTTTTAAAAATGGTTCCAGACGTTATTAATAACCTCCAGTAAACCCACTTCAATTACAGTTTATAGAGAAGTATTAGGATATTGATGCTTACAGAACCATGGAAAAGCCGTCCAATTCTGAAAAGTGAAGCTGCTCTGAATATAAAGCCCTCATTTGTTTCCTTGAGGCTCAGAGACACCACAGCAGTGGATGGCTTCACTATGTAGGAGTGGGGAGTCCGTAGTTTGGGAACGGGGACAGCTTCTTAGATCTAGTGGGGAGCTTCTGAATAAAACATAAACTGGGGACTCAGCGCAAAGTCAAACAGCGTCCACAAGTAAGCCTCTGTCTCAGGTCAGGCTCAGTGGCTCCGAGGCTCAGCTGACATGTCAGGACTCAAGAGCCATTCGTCCTCCAGGCCCTGCTTTCCCTTTTAATCCATTTGTGAAGCACTCAAACTGGCAATGTTTTTTTCCCTCTCTTACAGACAGGTGTAAACATCCCTGAATAATAATAACAGTATCAGCAAACCCTGGTTGGCAGGCATCTGAAATACATGCACTTCCTGTTTTGGAAATCAGCAACAGAGCTATTAGGGAGACAGTAGGCTAATACATCAAAGTTGCAGCAAGTGGTGGCAAGATACACCACAACACAGCAATTTTAATCACAAAACCAAATACAACTGTGGCCAAGCACACCTTTTATTTATGCTACATGTAATTAATTACAAAACAAGCTGTACATCTTTAATGGAAAAACACCAACATCTGGAATCTTTTGTACTCTCGCATAATAGGACAGATAGGTCAATCACACAAGATGAATGTTGCAAAAGCTTGTGTGTGACAGAACCAAGATACTCACCAACAGGCTTTTGTGTTTCAAGGCTCTTTCCTTTGTATGTATCAAACAGGTTGAGAGACGCATACTTGGTTTTGCCTTCCTTCCCCTTTGCAGTTTGCCCAGAGCGCTCTGACATTGCGCTGTCCGCTCATTGAGTATGGTGAGCCCTGAGACTGGGGAGAAAGGAGAGAGACAGAGATTTGACACCAGAAAGTGAGAGTGAAAGTGTTGACTGCACAAGCATTGAAAACAAGTAGAAGAGAGTCACTTTCACAAATCAGAATATAGTAAACAGAAGATTTGACTCATCTCTTGGCTGTGGTTGATTCAATCAAGCACCTCTAGCATAACTTACAATTAGTGATGGCCAGATGAAGCCTCATGAAGCCTTGAAGCTTTCTATGCAATTGGTTAAAAAAAAGGTTCATTTCTCGAGGCTTCCTGTGCACACAAACCCCCTTGCTGATCAAAAAATGTATTGTCATTTCAGCTATCAGAATCTGAATCCTTTTCATTGTCATTACACATACGCTCATACACACAACAAAATTACAGTCAGAAGTTTCGGTTTTCAGCAAAAAGAAAAATGGCATACATAAATAAATAAACTATTTGTGATGGCCTCTTTGCTGTCTTGCAACAGCATGGGAATAATCAGTGCCAAGAATAGAAATAAAAACACCTTAATTTGATTTTGTGTGGTTGGTTCATTCATTCATTCATTTAATCTGTTTTTGATTAATGTGTGGGTAGTACAGGACTGTTAATGTCAACAAAACTTGCCAGTATGACTTCAGTCAATGTTTAAATATATCCAAAAAGACATAAGACGTTTATGTTACAACTGTTGCAATGTTTTTAAGAAGATGGGACAGCGATTGTGCTTGTGAATACTGGGGTGATAGTGACTTTATTAATTTTTATTAAGAAACAATATTTTTTCCACTATGCTTGGACACAGTCAGTTTTGTTTTTTGGAAATAACTTCTTTGGCTTTGGAGAAAACCCTTTCTCATGTGAATATTATAGCAGTAACACATTTCATTATTTACAGGTATATTATTGGGAGAGATCAGCTCAAAGTGTTGCCATACAGGGGAAACCCTTCTCCTTTTAGGCTCCATGAAAACTAGTTTCTCTATGTCACAGGCAAATTGGCAAAACACTGACACACAAATTTTGCGGCGATTCACTGCGCTTTATGTTCATAACTCAACCCAACACTCGAACCCCTTCCTAAATCATCCATCCATCCATTATCTATACACCCCTTAACCCTCACTAGGGTCGGGGGGACGGGGATGGAGTGGAGCCTAACCCAGCCGACTTAGGGCGAAGGCCTTCCTAAACCAGCAAGGCTTCATTCATCATCAGTGACATCACTCGCCTCCTAACGAAGCAAGCCTTGATACGCGCTTCATAAAGGACTTCCTGGATTTCTCGACACACGCTCTGAAGCCTCAGCACAGTATGTCCCATCGCTACTTACAATACAACAGTATAAAATATGTTAGCAATACTAACAAAGATATCACAAAACAGGCCGAGCTCAGAAATGTATAGTAATAAAGTAATAATAATAATAATAATGTATTGCAACTAAATCCTACAAAACACAGTCAAACATATCTATAGGGGAAACTGACAACCTCCCAATTTTTTCTTGACATTTGTAGCACCACTTTTAACAGGTTCACTAATCCTTTGTGCCAAGTAGACAGAATAAATGCTGACTGACAGAGCACTGCTTTTCTGATTTTAGCTCTTTGTCTCAGAAGAAATACATGTCCTTTTCAAAATATTAGCAATCCATTACCCTACAATGTAGAACATGTGGAAACAAACGCTATTCACTTTTTAAATGTATTTATTTATTTATGCATCCTTTAACATCAGCTGCATGTATCTACTATAGTGTTTCTGTAGAAAAAAAAATTCTACACTTTAAAGGTTGTTTGTTTTGTGTTGGTGTAATTTATTACCTTCCATTTTAATAAAGACACTTAACCTCCTGGGATACTGGACACCTCTCATTTACAACCAGCAGGAGCCCTGCTGAAACATCACTAATACTGCACATTTTAACCCAAAGATGTGTTTTTTGTTGTTGTTTTAAGTCATCTAATCTGTACAAGATTTTTTTTTTTAGATAGATAGATAGATAGATAGATAGATAGATAGATAGATAGATAGATAGATTACCAGTCTGATCTGTTACGTTAACGAGTCAATCAAGATTATTAGAATCAACCGACACATAATGAACTGTATTGTATGTATGCTGAAATTACTTCAGTTGTACTGGGGTGATTATTCCTAAATTAAATATAATTAAAGTCAATTCACAGCAGGCTTTTCACAGGAGTCTGCCACATGGAAGGACACATTTTCATCATTTCCACCATTTCCACTACAGAGCTGAATATGGCTCTTCCATAGGAATGGCAGCATGGTAAACTAAAACAAATAACTCAGAAGGGGACAAATGCATAAAAGCAGAAAAAACATGACACAGCCAACAAGTATCTATTTAGGGAGAAATTCTAGTGACACCGGCAATTATGTATTTCTCCCACATTGTTTGCACGACTCAACTACCGCTGCACTGTTCCATAAAATGATTCTTATAGATGACGCTATGAAAACGTACTATGGCGTGTAAGAATTATTGTGGCAGTTGCCTTAGTTCTACTTTCCACTGCATAAACTTCAGGTCTTCCCAGTGTCTGAGCAGGTGCACAGGTAGTGTATAACTTTTTTGAGACATATTATTGTTAACATTTATTATAATTAGGTCAAATTCAACAATGTGCCAGTATAAATACAATTCAATGTGGGCAGATCTGGTACAGTACTCATCACAGGAAACATTGCACAAAAGAAAGGGGAAAAAGCAAAACCATGGTTTCTATGGCAACACATTATAAATTATATTCTTCCATGCCTTGCCTTGAGACAGGGTTCGGCTCCATGGCAACTGCCAGGCCTTTAGCTTGAACTCATTTTACTGCACATCAATAAAACACACAGAGCTGACATCTGTCCAGTTGAGCATGATTTGGCTGCATCCATCAGGGTAAACTACTGCCCCCACTCCACCCACCTCCCATTAGGCACAATTACTGAGAAACAAAATATTCCTCTGAGACTGTTAAGCTATGCATAGCACAAGTCATTTCATTCAGTTACTTTGAATGAAGTAGTAAAATAATGCGAGCCAATCCAAATGGTCCATGACGAGAAAAGTGTTAGAGTTAAGGAAGAATTCAAGTGGCAGCACTTTGTTATATTGTTGTGTATTATAATGACTTAAGAGCTGTATATTTAGAAAACTGGGACCTGAAAGAATTAATGGAAAACCATATTATGACAGCTCCACCAGCCACAAGTATACCTGAATAACACACATCTACCAAAATAGATGTGATAAACAACAAATGTATTTTGTAGGGCTTCACAATTGTTTCGACAACGCAATGTGTGCATGTGCAATAGTCAAACTGCAGGAAGATTGACGTGAAGTTAAGCTATTCAATTAATTCTACAACTTTTTTGGTCGCTTAATACAAAAAGAAAACTTCAATGGTTCTTGGATCCATGACTGAACCACAAGAGAAGTCGGTCTGCCAAAAAACAAAGAGTTTGATGACATGCAGACTCCACATGTGCACAGCGGAATGAGTGAAGAACAGGAGAAAAACACTGAAAAGTGTGACAGGTTGTAAAAACAGAAAATAAAGCAACATTAGTTGTATGAAAATATTTCCGCTACATAGAGGATGCTGTAAACTAAAAGCAAGCAATGTATTGCACTGCACCAGGCAACATAACTAATGTCTTTGACCACTTACATCAGCACCAAAAAGCTCTGCATGATGAGTGCAAAGCCAGACCTCAAAGACATCTAAACAAAATACTATTTTGGATGCCTGTGCTAGTGGTATGCCATATGGTAAAAGCTCTTTTTCTAACTCATATTACATTCTATTCCCTACAAAAACACCCCAATCACTCTCCACAGATTAATTATTTTAAAATAGTTTTTTCTGGTTGTGTACTGAAAAGTCTTGTATTTTTTGAATCCCATTATATATTAAAGAAAAACAAAATCTTGCAATGCCAGTTTTTCCCAATATGGTGCAGCTTGAGTGTTTACTACGTTTGACCCAACAAACAAATCCAATCAAAACGATGCTAGAAGACTAAAATATAAATGCCACTGCCTCGTACTGCGCACTGGTAATCCTTACAGAGACAAAACCCACGATGTCTGCAATTACACACATAACTGCAGACAATAAAACTCACGAAATAAAAGGATCCACACAGTGACTGCTGAGCAGCAGTACTGCACCGTGCCTCAATAGCCAGATGAGATTAGAAAATTAGGTCGTGGGATGGCTGGTCAGCTATAGTACATGTTGTATGGGGATTAACGGGGGCCAGCAGATACACTACCGAGCCATAACTGCAGCAACGTATACCACAAAGGGGCTTTGTAAAGCAAACGATTAGCACTGATCTCAGTAGTCTTGGGGCAAAATCTTATGGTAGCAACGCCAGTAGAAACTCTATCAGGGAGTTACATACAAAAAAATACACGGGTGAAGAGGCGGTATACCAGAATTATATTTTGGTGCTAACGTTAGCTGGCTAACACAGGGCCTCCGTGTTCTCGTTGGGAGGGGGACTGCGTTGATGTTTCATAATGCATTTTCAACATCGTTAGCTCATTGCTCTTCAACTCTGGAGGTGTTATGGCTTGAATCACACACCAGCTTCGCGAATTCATCAAGCTGCGATGCGTATCCATAGTTCGTATTACGAATGGAGCAACGAGAAAAATAATAAGATTTTATTAGGAGAACAAAACAAAATGGCGGTGGAGGCAGGCCCAGCGCATATTAACGTTAAGACAGACCGGCTGTGTAGCACAGCTCTGGAGAGCTTAACATCGTAGCGCTAGTTCATATTTAAAAGCACTGGCAACACGGGCACGTAATTTTAACTGTGTTGTAAGACACAAATCAAAATTATTAACCATTTTTGTTAAAGGTAGTGTATCGTAGAGTGACACTGTTTCAGCTAAAGCTAATAGCCTCGTAATGTTATTCCACACCTGCGCAAACGTTTATAGATGTGGAGTTTTTAATCTCAAAAAGTAAACGGCTATCTCAACAGACAACTAACCACGTGTTCAGTTTTACATAAAGAAATAAATATTTAAACTTAAAATATTGCGATCTTCACATGGTAAATACCAGCTAACCACTTAGCCAAGCTAGGCTAACAGGCTAGGTAACCACCTACCGTTAGCTAGCAACAACAAGTAAGACACTGTCTTTCACAAAAATACGACTACTTCTTCACAAAACATCAATTCGGGCAAGCCAGATCCCTGTTTAGAGGTAACAGTGACTATTTCAGCTCAGTATAGTGTAATAGCTCGGTGTTTGGAGAAAAACATGGAAAATTTTCCGGCCACTGACCTGGTCTTGTCCCGACTTGTCTCGAGGTTGTATCGCAGAATGAGGTTAGCAATGCTATCGTGTAGCTTTCTAGCAAGTGACCCAGCTAGCTAAGCAACGTTGTCGTGCTGCATAGTCAAACACACAGGGTCTCTACTGTGTCTCCCACTAACTCTGAGGTGAGTGGCACTGTGTAATTAAAAGAAAGTGTTAAGCTTACTTGCTCGTCTTTTTTATTCCAAAAAATAAATGAAAATGGAGAAAAGAAAATTGTTGATACTGGACTCGATCCGTCACCTAAAGAGCCGTCAACGGCTACTGGGTAATTTCATGAGATGGGAGCCGTTTGGGACCTCTACGGCAAAAAAAGAAATGCGACTTTTGTTTTCTAAAAACACCAGCCAATCCCTCTATAAAACATGAAAACGTAAAATATTTACGACACCATTTTATATTAGGGCTGCTGCAATTAATGATTATTTTCATTATTCATTAATCTGTGAACTATTTCTTTCTGGATTAATCGATTCGTTGTTTGGACTACAAAAATGCCTCCAAAATTGTAAGAAACATAGATCAGCATTTCCAAAAGCCCAAGATAACGTCTTCTAATGTTTTGCATTGTCCAAAACCCAAAATTCTTCAGTTTAATCTGATAGGGAAGTAAAGAAATTAGAAAATATTCAGATTTAAATGTCTCATTTGGTAAATATCCAGCTTTATTGTAATTTATGTGTTTTATAAACCCTGGAGGTGCAAAATAAAAGTTGTTAAACTATGACAAGGCGTACTACTGCCATTCTTCTTGCCACCTCTTAATTAGATAGATACAGAAGTGTAAGAATTTTAACCAGTTTCTGCATAGAAACTGGGTGATCAATTGTCGTCCAATCAAAACTCAGCAGGTATTTACATCTGTTTGCTTCTCTCCTGCTCTATGTGCTCACATATACTTTGTTTTAATACAGGCAATATTCCCAAAAAGATGTTCTCATTAACATATTTTTCAGTTTCTGTTGTCTTGAACAGAACTAGTATGAAAAAGTGACACAAACAGTAGGAGTCTTTTTCCAGAAAGGGACGTGGACAGCAGCAGTTTATCTGCATTTAAAGCTACACACACTGAAACAGCCCATTTAGAGCAGCCAGGAGTTATCCACCCAAAAAAAAAAAAAAAAGAAAGAAACGTTTTTGTTATTTTTCAGTTATCAAAAAAACTGCAGGCAAATCTGTTGGTTGACAACTAATTGATTAGTCAATTAATCATTGCAGGCCTACCTTAAAAAGGCTGTAATTGTTACTTAAAAGTGTGATTTATCCACTGTTGGAATGAGAGATTAACAGTACACTTTTTGCAAACCTTACTTAAATCCTGAAAAAAAATCTTTAAAAGTGCATTGTTATCCTTTTTTAAGAAAAAAAAGAACTAAAAACTAAAAAAATGAAGATGCTAACTCAGGTCACACATATAATATTAACTTTACGTACCATTTTTAGAAAATTAGGGTTTCCAGAGTACATGTCAGTAAAAGCAGGATACCAAGATTTAACTTTACCTGAGCAAGTTAAAAATTGCAGTTAAGATCCTTCAGTATTACATAAAATGCAAATGTCGCTGACTATAATCAATCAAGACCCTATGGTAATTTTTATTATGCACAATTTACTCAACTAATTTATAGAGAGAGGACAGAAAGGACAAAGTACAAACTACAGGAGAGAGAAGACACAAAGTTGCTACAAATATGGTGCAGTTTCTTTATTTGTTGATTTGCATAACAGAAAAGGATTAAAGACAAACTGCAAAATCGGCAATATTCCCTTTTTCTTATCGTAATTTCATGGTCTTATATGTAAACAGCTACATTTTGAAAGGAAGATCAAAAAACATTTAGCAAGTAAAATATTGGGCAAATTAAACATGAAACAGTATATTCCCCCTTACAGAGGGGATCATTATTAATGAAGTTATGTGATGGACATACAGGAAGAGTGTCATTAAAAATAGGTTAGTACACATCTGAAAAATTTTCTCCTCAGTTGTTGTTGAAATCAAGAATTTGCCTTATTTTGTAATTACAATTACAATACAACAATTTTCTCTCCCTACATGTGTTTTACAGTTTAAAAGGAAATAAAGAAAAATCCGTTACTGTGCAGGATGAAATGATGAAATTTCTTTACCTGAAGGATATATAAAACAACACGTAAAGCAGTTAGGAATCATTTATTTATTCCACAGTCAGCAGAGATCCTGCTGCACACTGATTTGAGCGAACTGATTGGAAAATACTACACTATATTCTACACAGGTAAAAAAAAAAGAGGGTACTTTAGAGGGTACAATATGCACCTTCTACCTCTTCACTCTCACATTCAATCACACACACACACACACACACACCTAATTAATAAAATTATTACTGCTATTCCTCTAAAACCACTCAAACCCAACAAGAGATGTTCAAGTACGTCATGATAAAAAAGGCTATTAACATTATTTTTTCACAATTTCTGTTTTTCCAAAGGCAGAAATGATTTCAATTTGCATGAGTATATGGCACACTTGCATCTTATAAAGGAAAAAAAAAGCAATTTCATTGTAATTACAACCACAGACTCGTGCCTGATTTCAAAGTAGAACCATTTCAGTATAAATAACGTTATTGAGTGTAGAATGAATCTATGGTAGAAGTGCTTAAAATCTGTATTGCATTATTACATTTTTACATTTTGTGAAACCGCCTTGATGTCAATCAAATATGCTGTCAATCAAATATGCTGTCATTGGAACAGGAGATATCATTTTTAAAAATGTCAAATTAAAGCCATTAATTTTACAACCGATGATCTCTGATTGCTAAAATAATAATAATATTTATTTTCATTAGTATAATGCGCTTGAATATGTTTCTTTCTTAGAACAAGAACCAAACTAAATTTTGTGGCCATGCAGTTATTTGCAAGACACTTGATAAAAGTGGATACATGATTTAAATCAGCTGTGGGATTTTCAGAGAACAGAAAGCTAAAATCAGCAAAAAATATTTTTAGATAGCTTCATCACAGGCCAATCTGCTGGACATTCATGGTGTAGAGCCTCCTATTCTATCCTGTTTGATATCATTAAGTGAGTTCAGTAAGTCTCTTTTTTTCCTGAGAAAGTCTTTGGAGGAAATAATTTCTTCATGTTTGCCCTTCAAAGCTTGCAATCTGGGACACAATCACAAGATGATATCAAAACAGGAGTTGCGCTCCCAAAAAAATAAATCTCTTCAGACTGCTTTGCTTCTCACACCTACGCTGCTTCCCCTTACCTTCTAAACAAGTGCTCTACAGGCCACCATACAGGTGGATTTTGGCAAATGAAATGGTCTCGTCATAGTTTATGTGGCCCTTCTCGTAGATGACAAAGATGTACTTGCGGTCCTCTGCAGAGTCGCTGTCCAGTGACGTCATGGAGGAGTAGCCGCTCGGCCCCGCCCAAATCTGGACCGCCTTGTTTTCCCAAGATGTGCCGTTTGTCAGCGACCATCGTAAGGTGAGGTTCACTCCTGGGGGGGATGAGTCTAGTTAGTTTATGCACCTTTTATGAGACATGAATGCATCATATTACGTTACACAAGAAGTTGTCTCTGCCTCAACGCTCTGTATCGTAGGCGGGGGTGAGTTTTGTTTTTCTTTGTGCTAATTACCTGATGATTCACAATTTTTCATCACGGGGAATCATTGTGTACATGCAGGTTGCATAAAGAGCAGCCTGTTGGGACATCAGGTTCGTAGTTTATATAACTGCAGAGCCAGCTACGGCAGTTTTGTGCACAGAAAGAGACATCACTGCTGCATGTGTAGTAAAAAGCAGGGATGAAAGCAGTGATCTGTCAGACATTTGTCCTGCTTTCCACTGGTTCTCCTTCAACCAGTTATTAATATTTGCTGATGGTTTGTATTTCTCCTAATCCTTGTATATTCCTAGTCTCTGTGACATCCAGCAGGCTCATAATTATAAAGCTGTGGTTTGTTATATGTGCATGAATATAAGTTTTAACTTACTTATTGTCAAAACTATATATTTCTATTAAAGTGGACCTAGCTTGGCTGCTCCCCCTTTTGTGACATCACAAACAAGGTTTTTTGAGGTGGGCTTAAAATATTCCTTTTTCTACACAATAATTCAGCAAAGTCATGAATCTACAAGTTGAGAAAATATGAGTATTTTTAAACAATTCTCCTGAAGCAGCTGTGACATAAAATGCATGTGGTAATAATTTGCCAGTATACACATGTGGACAAAATTATTGGTAACCCTTGGTTAATGAAAGAAAAACCCACAATGGTCACAGAAAAAACTTGAATCTGACAAAAGTAATAATAAATAAAAATTCTATGAAAATTAACCAATGAAAATCAGACATTGCTTTTGAATCGTGGTTTCACAGAATTATTTTTAAAAAATAAACTCACGAAACAGGCCTGGACAAAAAGGATGGTACCCGTCACTTAATATTTTGTTGCACAACCTTTTGAGGCAATCACTGCAATCAAACTATTTCTGTAACTGTCAATGAGACTTCT